AACGCGGCTCGGGAGATGCAGCCCAGTACCTCGTGAAGTGGCGCGGAGCCCCTGAAGATCACGCCACATGGGATCCAGCACATCACCTTACTGGCTGCCCGGCTTTGCTGCGCGCTTGGCGCCGCCGCCAACGAAGACGTCTTCAGGCTCGAAACAACATTGGTCCTTCCGAAGCGTAGACGTACGGGTCCGCCACGTTCCAGCTCCTACAGCACGGGCACCCTTCAATGAGGAGGGGTGAGGGAGCGCTGCGCACCGCGTGCGCTCACGACGTCAGCTTTAGAAGAGCACTGAGATAGCAAAGGCAAAAATAATGTGTTTTGGGGTAGGTCTCTTCATTCCGGCAAGGGGGGAAGTTGTAGTGCACAGGCACTACAATGGAGCTGGCTAGTGTCCTAGAGATGATAGCTAGCTAGCGACCTACACGGGGCCGCGACACTGGAGGAGGACAGGACCCTCTCAACAAGAAAAAAATAAGAAAAAAAGTCAGTCAGTTCTAATGAATACGTGAAATGTGCGGAAATTGTGTGGAGACTGGGGCTGGCGATAGCGCCGGCGCCCATGCGGACCTCCTCCCCATAGGGCCTAGGAGGTGAGCTCCGAGAAGGGGGCGAATCGACGAGACAGATTTGAAACACTTAAGAATTGTCGTATTTCGATGGAATAAAGCTATAGAGTCCGAGAAATGTGTCTATGCTAGGCGTAGTTAGTAGACCTGCTCGAAGGGCAGGAAGCAGCGTAGTCGCAGCAGTAGGCGCCGCGCACTACAAGTTGTGTTCTGCTCATGATGTGCATACCTGATATAGGCAGGCGTGCTAACTATTTGTTATAAGCCATCCTGTTGTAGGCTCCCTGTAAGTAAATTGGTAGCTCGGCATGTCAGAGTCAAGATGTAGGATCTCGCGCCGCACCTTGAGCAGCTCATCTCCAAGCGAGACGCCTTCTATGATACTGTAGTACACTGCGTTCTCTTTGGCGCCTACGAAGCTCCACTGCCCACAACTCGGGAGTTCTAAGAAATATTCTCTGCTACCGACGCATCGGTCGTGTAACGTCTACAAATGTATTAAAAAGACCGTTTTGTTTCGAATTTTCAAACCCACATTTTCATGAAAGTCGTTTCTTCTTGTTCTTGCTGTGCTGGTCCGGTGAGGATGTGACGCGCACCTGTCCCGGCGTTGTCGGCAGCCCCAATCTTCCAGTGTTCGCAGGCATTTCTAGTCCATACATGTTAATTTGTTGATAAATTGCATTTGTATTTCACTAGTAAGGGGCTACAGCGCTCAATCCGCGTCTCAACCTCTTATCTGCCTATAGGTCATCAGCTAACTATCCTCTATGGGTCACCAGCAAGCCCCATTGTAGTGCCTGCGCACTACAAGGCCTGCACCGGTCGCTATCGCCAGCCACAATTTCCAGGTATTTACAGGCACGTCTAAAGTATACATGCTAATTCGCCGGCAAAGTGCCTTACTTCGATCCTAGTAAGAGGGTCCTGTCCTCGTTCCGTATTATGACCTCTTGTAGGTCACCAGCTAGCTATCTTCTATAGGTCACCAGCAAACCCTATTGTAATGCCTGTGCAGTACAGGACCAGTCGAGCCATCAGGCTTGCTATCCAAGCCAACGGACCCCGTCGGCGCCAGGAAATCGAAAATCGCCCTGGGGGAACTCATGCGAGCTGCTGCGAGTACCAGGGTCGCGGACACCCGGCACGTGTCTGGCCCAGCAAGAGAGAACGTAACAAACGTTCCGGGGAAATATGCAAGAAGTGTGGCGGTGTCGGACTCTATGCTCGGGATTGTCCTACTTACGAACGAGGTCGGACCGAGCCGGAGGACAAGAGCAGTAGGCAGCCCACACGTCCTAGCAATGAGAAGACGGAAAGATTAAACAAGGGGGCCTAGGCGTGGTTGGAGATGAGCGTTCTAGGCCGCGTAGCCATGGCAAAGGGATGATGTGTGCGGTAGCGACAGGCCACAATGTCATTCCAGTCTCCCTTCAGTGGGGAAACCAACTCCTCAACACTGCGGAAGGAACTGATACGAGCAATGGGCACGCGGAAGGGACTCAGCCGCTTTCGGAAACGCGGTGGGAGTCTGAGTCGTCATCGATCCTGAGTGAAGAGGCTCCGGGCGCGACGACGGCTAGCAGCAGGAAGTCTGCAGAGGCAAGAGAAGACAGCTACAGGCCAGACTCAACAGAGCTTGCGCCACACTGGTGGCGGGAAACTTGCATGAGAGAGCCTTGCGACCAAGGGGGAGCACTGCGCTATGCGGGTGCGACAGCGGTGCTTCGCGTTGAGCTCGCAGGTAGTCTGTGTGAAACCTTCTTGGACACTGGGGCTTCAAGAAGTTTCATTAGACCCAAAACAGTCGAACGACTGCAGCTCAAGGTGCAGAGACTTCCAGAAGAGCATAAGTTCACTGTAGCTACAGGTGAACAATTACGCATTGATCGGGTTATGACGGGATTGACGTTGTGGTTCAGACATGCACGCTTTTCCAGGGACTTCTTAGTGGGAGCCGTTCCCTATGACTTATTTTTGGGTTTGGATTGGCTGACGAAACATAAGGTGGCCTGGTATTTCCAGTCCGACAAGCTCCAAACCTATGTGAATGACCAGTGGTGCGAGTTACCGGTCGTTGGGACTGGTGAAGCAAAGCTGCAAGGTAACAATCCCACTGTAGTCCACCCAAGGACCCCGGCAGAGCAAGCATACGAGATATTGGCCAAACAAGTGGCGGGTATGTCAACGGAGGAGGCAGCTATATTCCTACGCCCGCCACATAAAAGGCATAAGACCCACGCGAAGACTAAGGCGAAGGCACGGATCAAGTCGCTCATTCGTCAGGCGGCGGCTGACACGAAGAGTCTCAGGGCACCATTGCGCGGTTTGCACCTCATACTGGCTTTGCCCGAAGCCGGTTCGGCGGTGCCCCCAAGGCTCTCGGATGAATGGCCAGGCGCGCTTTGCTGCAGGTTACTTGGGAATCAACCCACGTCCTTCGGCTAGGGTAGTCCTTTTGCCTCCACCGCCTTGACGGCAGCGGAGGGTGAAGAGGAGTCGCCCTGGCCTGTGGCAAAACTCGAGCACACTCCATTCGACGAATGGATAAATTCGACAGAGGCGCAGGCTATTCCATGTGAGATTATCGAGGTGTTGCAGGAGTATCGAGCGGTCTTTTCCGATACCTTACCTAAGGGATTACCGCCGAAACGCCCTCATGATCACCATATCCTACTGGTGCCTGGAAAACTTCCATCGAAATCTGCGATATACCGTATGACCCCAGATCAGCTCACATTCCACAAACAGGAGATAGCCAAATTATTGGACAGTGGCCGCATTGGACCAACATATTCGCCTATTTGCTCTCCTACGATCATGGTGGACAAACTTGATAATGGCTCCGGGGAGCGGAAGATGCGCATGGTTGTTAATTAGCAGGCTCTAAATGCCCTTATGATAGCCACTGATTTTCCACTACCTCCCATTCAAACCATTCTGGAGATGCTGGGAGGCGCCAAGTATTTTTTCACTTTGGACCTTGAAACAGGATTCCATCAGGTTAAGGAAGACCGTTGGAAGACGGCTTTCCGTTCGGTTATCCGGCTCTTCGAGGGTGCTCCAGCTACGTTCCAGGCCAGCATTAATGCCTATCGACAACCCTTTTTAGGGCAGGGCATTATGGCGTACCTAGATGATGTACTTATCTATAGTCCCTATCTTTCTTGACACGTTCCCCTCCTGCGACAAGTCCGAAGTATTTTTGAGACATCAATTCTACCCAAAATTCCACAAATGCAAGTTCACAAGGCAAACAAATACATATTTGGGTTATACCATTTCTGCTGCGGGGATCAAACCTGTAGAAGACAAAATTGAAGCCATACGGCATTGGCCTGAGGTGCTGAAGAACGAGACGCAGGTGCGCCAGTTCATCGGTACCATAAATTACTGCCATATGTTCATGGGACCGGAATATGCAGGCGTCGCCCTGCCGCTCGTTGCTATTACGCGTAAAGACGTTAGTTTCAAATAGACAGAGCTTCACACGCAAGCGGTGCGGCTGCTCACACAGCGCTTAATGGATTTGACTACATTACAACTCCCTGACTCCACGAAGTCCTTCGCGTTGTACATCGACGCCTCTAGTTATGCGATCGGAGCAGTTCTGGAACAAGACGGCAAGCCCATCGGCTTCCTCAGCCAAGTCATGAACCGCGCACGACAGAGATACTCGATCTACGATCAGGAACTCTTGGCGTTGGTCACGGCCCTGGACAAGTGGTCACGTTTGCTCCATGTTTCCAAGGTAACGGCTTGCACTGATCACCAAGCTCTCACCCACTTCCAACGACTCCAAGCATCGACGCCTCTGAGCGGACGCACTGCTCGGTGGTTAGACTTCCTGACCGACTTCCCGGATTTGCACATCACTTATGTTCAAGGAACCCGCAATCAAGTGGATGATGCCTTGTCTCGTCGTCCCGGTCTTCCTCACACCTGCTCGCACGACACGCCACAGACGCCACTGATGCTTGCAGTAGAACAAGCGCGCGCGGCTCCTCGCTCTCGTGGTCGGCCCGACTCGATCCTTGTCATGGTCGACTGCCTCACCAAGATGGCTCATTTCGTTCCTGCAAAGAAGTCATTCACAGCAGCAGACACCGTGGAGCTTCTCGCAGACCGTCTTATTAGCTACCACGGATTTCCAGAGGTACTCATATCGGACCGCGACCCCCGCTTCCAGTCGGATCTCTGGCAACAACTCTGTAGCCGCTTTAACATCAAACGGTACATCTCCTCGTCTTACCAACTCCAAAGCGACGGTCAAACTGAACGGATTAACCGCACACTCGAGCAGATGCTTCGTACCTACATCCAATCTGAAAAACGCGAGTGGGAGCGTTTGCTTCCGGCCTTGGAACTTGCTTACAACAGAACCAGTCATTTATCCCCTGAGCTTTCGCCCTTGGAGGTCATGATTGGCGAGAATCCGTTGACTGCTGTGAACCTTGATATCGTCGGCGCGTTAGCTCCTACGCTCACTTCTCCGATGACTAAGCTTTCCCGGCAGCTCTGCGATAGAGCACAGAGCCACATCCTGATGGCAAAATGGCAGCAGAAGTACTACGCAGACACAAAACGCCGAGCCGTGTAGCATGCAGTGAGAGACAAGGTCTGTCTCAGTAGCAAGCACTTACCCCATTCAACAGCTGCCCTAAGTTCGAGCCCCGTTACCGGGGACCCTTCGAAGTCATAGAACGCATAGGGACCGTCGTTTACTGTCTCGCTCTGCCTCCCAACGTTTTCCACGTTTCGCAGCTAGTTCCCCACCGCCCCCGCCCTCCCGACTTGGTTCTCCCTGAAGCCGACGCTGCCTGGCCTCCTATCCGCGGGGCAGCAGGAAATCCAGCAGGGGAGTATGGATTATATTATGGGCCAACGCGGCTCGGAAGATGAAGCCTCGTGAAGTGGCACTGGACCCGTGAAGATCAAGCCACATGGGAGCCCGCTCACCACCTTACATGCTGACCTGCTTTGCTTCGCGCTTGGGCTTCTGCTAACGAAGACGTCTTCAGGCTCGAAACAGTCTTGGTCCTTTCGAGGCGTACAGGTTTGGGTCCGTCACCTTCCGCCGCCTGCAGGATGGGCAGCCTTCAACAAGGAGGGGAGAGGGAGCGCTGGGCATCGCATGCGCTCACGGCGTTAGCTTCAGAAGAGAATAAAAATTGAAAAGGCAAAAAATAAGGTGTTTTGGGTAGACCTGTTCAGTCCGCCAAGGGGGGAAGCTGTAGTGCACAAGCACTACAATAGGGCTTGCTGGTGACCTATAGAAGAGAGCTAGCAGGCGACCTCCAGGAGGTCATAACGCCGAACGAGAACAGGACCCTCTTACTAGGATCGAAGTAAGCGGATTTGTCGGCAAATTCGCATCTATACACTAGACGTGCCTGTAAATACCTGGAGATTGTGGCTGGCGATAGCGCCGGCACCGGCGCAGGCCTCCTCTCCACAGCGCCTAGGAGGCGAGAACCCCAAGGGGTGGGATCTTCAAGAGAACAGATTTTGAAAAACTATAAATAACTGTATTTCGTGATGTTTGGACTACTGTTTCGAGGAAATGCACCGAAGGTAAACGGTTATCGTAGGCCCGTACTCAAGGGGGAAGGCAGCAGCGTAGTCGCAGCAGTAGGTGCTGTGCACTACACCACTGATCACGGACCACTACACGGTCCTCAGCCGTTGGCGTCCAGGCAAAGTACCAAAACACTGTGGGCAGATTATGGCTTTAGACTAAAAGATGATAAAGCAATAAAACAAGCAATAGACAATAGAAATGCCGAGGACTGGCTGCACAAGGTGGGTATCTGTAGTGCGCAGGCACTACAGTGGGGCTTGCTGGTGACCCATAGAGGATAGCTAACTGATGACCTATAGGCGGTTAAGAGGTTGAGACGCGGATTGAGCGCTGTAGCCCCTTACTAGTGAAATACAAATGCAATTTATCAACAAATTAACATGTATGGACTAGAAATGCCTGCGAACACTGGAAGATTGGGGCTGCCGACAACGCCGGGACAGGTGCGCGTCACATCCTCACCGGACCAGCACAGCAAGAACAAGAAGAAACGACTTTCATGAAAATGTGGGCTTGAAAATTCGAAACAAAACGGTCTTTTTAATACATTTGTAGACGTTACGCGACCGATGCGTCGGTAGCAGAGAATATTTCTTAGAACTCCCGAGTTGTGGGCAGTGGAGCTTCGTAGACGCCAAAGAGAACGCAGTTTACTACAGGCCTGCTCCCCACAGGGCCTAGGAAGCGAGAACCCCGAGTGGGGGGATTTTGAGGAAAACAGATTTTGAAAAAAAACTGAGTACATGTATTTCGTGATACTTGGACTACTGTTTCAAGGAAATGTGCCCCTAAGATAGCTGTCTACCTTCGGTGCATTTCCTCGAAACAGTAGTCCAAACATCACGAAATACAGTTATTCATAGTTTTTCGAAACCTGTTATCTTGAAAACCCCACCCCTTGGGGTTCTCGCCTCCTAGGCCCTGTGGGGAGGAGACCTGCACCGGTGCTGGCGCTATCGCCATCCCCAATCTGCGGGTATTTACAGTCACGTCTAAATTGCCTTACTTCGATCCTAGTAAGAGGGTCCTGTCCTCGTTGTGTTATGATCTCTTGTAGGTCACAAGCTAGCTAGCTTCTATAGGTCACCAGCAAGCCCTATTGTAGTCCCGGTGCACTACAGATATCCTTCAGAGTCAAGGGCTGCGCTTCAGACGGTCTGAAACACAACCCTCCCATCTCCCGTGTTTGAGCCACGACTTCCTTGTGAGAGAAAGAAAACTTCGACGGGCTATAGAAGTGCCTGACAGGCGTCGTCCATCACTTATTGTTTACTGGTTAATCAGTTAGGTTTACATGTGCTGGTGGTCCAATTGCTCTAGGTTGCAAGCCAGTGCATTTTTGCATTGCGCACATTAAGGTGGTTTCTCCGATTTTGTTTCTAGCCGAACTGATCCGCAGAAATAAGGTATTCAGCTCAAGGCAATATGCTGCCGACGGGGGACGAGCTGTGAGCCAGCCCAACGCTGCAGCGTGTTTGTTTGTCCACGTTCTGTGTCACAGCGGCGTTGTACGAGTATTCCAATGCCGAACGGAGTCATTTTCACTCAGGCCATCCTCATGGACGTGACTTATAGACGTGAATAATGCATTAAAACAGCAGCAATAGGCTTTGCCGGGTTTCGCAAAGTTAAAACTATCTTCGAAAAGCTAGGCCTCTCTAGATAGGTCCGATGCACGAGCTCGGTATCTTAGTAGCATTGTTTCAGTTCCATCTTCGTAAGCCTCAGCTGTGCTACTGTGAGACATGTTCTCTAGCTGCCGTCCATTCCGTGGGGCAGCAACTGTGCTGCCGGTGGAGTCTCTCGCTACAGGCGGAAATAGACAAGAAAGCCCTGCACTTGCTCAGTTTCCCTCTTCAACGCTACAATTCCCTTGAGCTGATGTCAATTTGACTGGCATCGATTCGGATCGTGAACGTAAGGGTCAACTATGTGGGTTTAAGAAATTTTCGCGTGATTTACCGTAGTGCACTAGCGGACTTGATGGTGCCACTACGTGTAGACCTGTGGGCTTCTTTGCTAGATATATCCTCAATAAATCACGCGAAAACCTCTTATATCCAATAATTAGCTTCAAAATCACATATCACCGGGCCTGACCCCCAAAGGTGGGCTGGCGCTTCGGCATCTTAGTGACTACGAGACGCTGATGGGCAGTTGGCACTCGTCGCCTGCTGACCCTATTCCTTGCCTAATTGATCTTATTTAATACTAATATTACATTATATTGTGCTCCTTCCACGGAATAGGTCACTATATGCTCACTGGGGTAACCAATGTAGTGCCTGTACACTACAGCTGCCCCATGCCAGCGCCAGTACCTAAATGCAAAGCACACTAGGCTTGAAAGCCCCAGGTCTAAGTCCCTTCCCATGTAGCTCACTTCTGAATATAATTCGAGTCCACATATTTTTACATGGCCCTGAAGGCCGTTTTGGGGCTGCCTTGTGCTGCGTACTGCGAGACCCCCATGGAGAATACAGTTGTTACCTCAGTGGCTTGTGAAGGCTGCCGTAGGCGACTGTTTTGTGCTTACTTTGCGTTCTAGAAAGTCTCTTAGATAGGCATTAGTCAAAAGCTGTGTAAAATTTGCTCAAGAGTTATTGACCCTCCTTGTAGAGCAGCCGCAACCTGTTCTGCTCTGAATGCGCCTTGCAGCGTTGAAGTCTCATACAGCCACCAAGTGAACCCTCAAATACACGGATTGTGTACTGCACCGCATGAACACAATGATCTAGTTGGAACTTTATCTTACCGCTGACGTATGGTTGCTTCTGTGGCTGTGTGCTACTGTCCAACCTGCATCAATCCATAAAGTCTCGTTAGACTCATTATGGAACTTTGCTCGATTGACCTCCAAATTAAACTGCCACTGATTGCTGTATTCGTTAAGGACCAAAAGCGAGGAGCCAAGTGTTGCGCAAATGCCAAAACGCAGTGTACGGTGCAGGTGGGAGGTAGAGCTGAAGCAGAGATAAAACTGAGTGCAAAGTACAGAAGACTATATACAAAGGCTAGACGAGGCGGTGGCGGGCCGCGCCTCTCATCAATTGGGAAGCAGGTGGGGCTGGAAGTAAGTAGATGCAGCTAGCCGTAAGTAGACGTGTGCTGGCAGCGCCTTGGCGTACTGAGTAGCCATGATTCGGATAATACAATAGCTTCAGACGTGGAGGAGAAGCCGCCCCTGACAAGACATTAGCGGGCCTAGCCTCTTATTCCGCTGGCTTTTACTAGTCCTCATTTAGTATCATCCCCGTATTTTGTTCAAAATTGTAAATGAAAGTCGTCTGGCACGACAGCGCCGTTTTCGTTCGGGCCTGAAATGGGGCTTGCTGGCAGTGCATGTGTGGTTGGTGTTGACTGTCGCCTGCGGTGTGTGCCTCCGCTTTTGCATCTCTGCTCTAATTATGCAGTTTTTCCCACCCGTCATTCTCTTGTTAGCAGTGCTATTTTCAACAGAAGGCTACCTTGCTGGCTTTGCTGCAGCTGGCTCTGTGAGCGATGAACCCAGCCGGTGAGTGCGACGTAGGTCGTTCTCCTAAGCACTATTTTGGCTCATTTAACAGTTTGAAAACTGAAGCATCAACTATTTCACCGCCAGCGTCTGGTTTTCTGTCGCATGTCGTAGAGGGCAGCGAGGGAACGGAGGGGACCCTGGCTAGCCGTCCTGTGAACGACGAAGGCGCAGGAGCAGCCAACGAAACAGGGTCTTCAGATGCAGCAAATTCTTCAGAAAAGAAGGAATGCCCATGTAAAGGCTCAGACATCTCTTCAGCAGAGGAGGGAGCCAATATCGTGCATGCGCAACGGTTAGGAATCGATATCCCCGTGGATCCCAATGATGAAGAACTCTCCTTTCAGGCTTCCCGAATTTTCAGAATTGAAAACCTCAAGGAGCTCAAAAGACTGAGAGTAAATACAGATAGGCGTTAGACGAGCAGCAGACGCAAAGCAGCAACGAGACAGCCAGACACTCGAGACAGACAATCACGGGTAGATACACGGCAGCACACACGAAGCAGCAGAGTACAGCACTCAGCGGTGGAGCATTGTTCGGTGGTTACTTTTTAGAGACGAAATCCACGTCAAGTTCGTCAAGTTCCTGTGGCGTTGCTCCTTCCGCTGGTACCTTTGCTTTCTCTGAACAGAGGCTTGAGCTAGTTGCAAATGAAGTGACTGTTATTGAAGGCTTGGAGGAGCAAGGCCCCACCTTGGAGGAGCTGGTTCTTTATCAAAACCACATCAAATGCATAGACAACATTCGGCACCTAACAAATCTAAGGTGGCTCCCATTTCTTCTACTAGCCCCAACTTCGGCCAACTAAAAGGCGCAGCATGTCATAAGTGTAGCACACATTTGCCTTGTTGTTTCTCTCTTCAGGATTTTGGATCTATCTTTTAACGGAATAAGACGGATTCAGAACCTCGAGACACTAGTTAACCTGAGGGAATTGTTCCTCTCGAATAACAAAATTACTAAGGTGCTGCCCCCCACAGGCAACAGCACACGCAGCAGCAGCAACAGCAGCAGCAGCAGTCAAGAGCGTTGGCTATTCGGTGCTGCGTACGTTTGGCTGCGCGTAGATAGAAGGCCTCTCAACTCTGACGGAACTGCGCATGCTAGAGTTGGGGTCCAATCGAATTCGCTTAGTGGAGGGCATAGAAAATCTCACAAAGCTCACGGAGCTGTGGCTAGGGAGGAATAAAATAACGCGCTTGGTGGGTTGTGTCTGCTGCATCGCTACATTATGTACTAAAGCTAGCGTATGTTACGGCCTCATTGGTATGTGTACCTTTAGAGAAGGACTGGTGAGTGCCGCTGGATGCCTTCAATTGTTGAAGGCTTAGATTAGAAGTTTTGGATAACTCAGGCTTGCCATTCGGTGGAGGTTTGCGTTGCGGGGCACCAGCCCGCTATGTGGGGACCCAAAACGGTCTTCGTTTTAGCGAGTGTCCTGATGAAGTGCCCTCTATGCCAACAGCCCCGTTGTACATAAGCTACTGCCGCATTTTCTGCTACTGGTGGGGCAGACTGCTCCTGGAATTGTTGCGAGGTAGTGAAAGTTTTCGCTATCACTATGCAGTTGTGGTGGTGTCTCTCTGTGTTGGAGACTCCTTAGGAATTGCCGTCTTTGCCCCTGCTAGGCCGTGTCAGCCTGCAGTCCAACCGCATCGAGGAGTGGAATATCGGGTTTTTTGAAAAATGCCCGAAACTTCGAGAATTGTACTTGTCGCACAACAATCTCCCGTCCCCGCCCGCAGAGATCAACCGACTGGTAGCTTAAACAGTTCTTTTCCCTGATATTGTGCAGCTGTTTTGCCTTTTCCTCTTTTCTCGTATCACAGGGAGCTGTAAGTCTGCATGCAGCTGGCTCGGTGCGTTCCTTCCGTGAGCGTTTCTTGCTTTTATAGAAAGAAGCGTATATTCTTCGGTTGAGCCTTCGGGCTGGCGCTGCTGCAGGAGGAACTGGCGGTTCTTGATTTATGTTGCAACAGAATCGACGATCTGGAAGCTGTGGCGTCACTTTCGAAGCTGCAGGACCTGTGGGTGAGGTACAGGCCTTTCCTGTCTCCGCTTTTCTTGCAGCTTTCTTGTCGGAGTCTTTCGTCCCTTCTTCAGGCCTGTAGATGGCGCCGAGGTTTATGTATAGACGACTTACCTGTGCTACTATGGGTTTTGCTGCAGCTGAATGACAACAAGCTGGAGACACTTGAAAAGATCCGCTGTTTGCAAGTTCTTCCATCTTTGGATACGCTGTACCTTGAGCGGAACCCCCTACAGGCCAATCTGGGTCCAGGGTATAGACAGGCAGTTACAGACCTCTTGCCGCGTACGCCTTGTCTGCGTACGGAGCTGTCACCACGATGGTTCCAAGGTTGCTGTTATTGGTATCCTAGTTTAATACTTTACATGCAGCGTCCGTGCAATTTGTGTTTATAATAAATAGTATTATTACGCACTTCATGTCATCCTGCAGGACTCTCGCAGTTGGATGCCATTTCCCTTAGTGCTACCGTCCACATTGTGCAGCATGAAGGGAACGGTGAGGACCGGGGTTGTGCTGGTTGCTTAGCGCCTCTGCGGCTGTGGCTTCACAGCGGCATGAGGTCCAGGGTAATGGCAGCTAAAGAGTCTATACTGGCAGTTAATAACTTCCTGGATGGAGTTTATACTGGCAGTTACTAACTTCGTGGGTGTCTGTTCTGCGGCTGTGTTCCGCAGAATCCCGAGTCAAGCCAATATTAAAGCGCTGAATTCCTCATTTTCCCGCTATCTCACTGCTGTTTCTTAGTTGGACATTGTTTTTCCTCCCATGCGTTGGGTGGCAGATATGAAGAGTGCATCTGGTGATGCTATTAGAACTAAGTGAAAGCTAACACTTGACACCAGAGCGGACGCCGACGGCTTATAGTAAAGAGAAAGGAACTAGCCTTCAGCAAGCTTTACTGACGCAACCTGCGTACCTTATAGATGGGAAATGGACCTAGGCAAGGCTGTGTATGAGATCTTCAGTGCACCGTAGAGGGTAGTTGCCATTGCGAGCGCTTGCAAGGGGTGCAATAGGAGCAGCACGTGTGGCAACAGAGAGCGTATGCTAATGAGCCCTGGCTTCACTACGGTGGATGCATGCAGACAGACTAGGGAGCTTCTCTACCAGTGTAGCGCTTCGTACTTTTTGCTTGTTTCGTGGCATTTTTTGACCAACGGACGCTGGCCGACTACATAGGTGTCATTTGTAGACTCTAGTTATTGAGTTGAAAACGAGGAAACGAAGCCTCTGAGGCTCAGTTCCCCGGAGTCCCGTAGTACACTGTATTTTTTAGCTGGTTGAGTTTCCAGACAGTTCCACTAAGTTTTCGGGCAAAGCCGGGATGTTCACACTAGAACTAGTGTCAGTGGGTACCCGGATGTTAGAATTTGAGCTCGGTTCGTGTACCAGAAGCTTAGCATATGCTGAGTTCACGAGGTTCTCTTGCACAGAGGCAGGCTGTTGAATTTCCTTTGGTCCTCTGCCGCTTGAGACGTCTTACTTGACTTTCGTTAGACGTGAAGCGTCCTAGCTTTTTGCTTGCTAGAACTCTTGCCTCTCTGTAGCTACTTGGAACTGCCTAGAACGTCTCGGTCGGCGCATTTTAGAGCCCGCTTTGAGCGTGCTCCTCTTCAAAAGTGTTCGTCGTTTTTGGTCAATATGGGGAAAGTGTTGAGCATCCCACGGGCTCGCGTGTCGCTCGCCCGTGGACTTCCTGGACCTGGAAGGCTATCACGGGGCAATGTGGCCGTCTTAGTAGACCACAGTGTGAAACCCCAGGCTCCATCAGGGCATTATTGTGTGTTTATGAGTTGGCGGCGATAATTTAGGGCTGCTTACCGACTCTTTGTCCTTCTTTGTGGATAGTAAGTTTCAATGCTTCATGATGTAATGGGACTGCTCAAAATAATATGCTGCTGGCGTTTACACATCAGAGCGCTTCGAGTAGTCAGCGTACACAAATATTTGCGGCTTTGGCACATGAATTCTCATACGTGGTACTATAATAATTAAAGTGTGAATGATGCCGCAGTGTGAGGTGCCCGTGATGTCACTCCTGCCAAGTGAGCGTGTCTGTGGCAGGTGTAGCTTGCTGATGAATGCCTTGAATGTCTGAGGATTTGTCTTGCTCTTTCCAGGGAACTTAACCCTTTAGAAATAATGAGAGAAATGTACTCACTCTGTAGTGCAGGAGGTGTGGATGCCTTCTGCACTTCTTCCGATCCATCTTCGCACACAAGCTTCAATTCGCTTTACAGAGCACAATCCACGTTCCATAAGCAGAATTGTGGCCTCTTTACTTCCCTTTCAACTCAAAGCTTTGCTAATACCTCTTCTACGCACGGTCCTATCCACGCTCTTAGTGAAACTGACGGTGGTGGTAAGGGAATGAATCGTTAGGCATCTGCCAGGCGCCGCTAAAAGTGCTGCGCGTCAGCAAGGCCTTAAAAAATTCTCTAATTAAGGGACACTGCAGCATGGCACTTTCAGGGGAGCAAATCGACACGGGGCTGCTGAAAAATTTCTCGAGCCTCTTGCGAAACCAAGGGGTAGCAGGAAACAAAAGCGCAAATGCAGGGCCGTCCACAATATTTCGCCAGTGCATTGCTTTCGCTTCCTAAGTAGTCCTTTTTGGTGGACACGCTGGTGATATTTTGCCCTCCAACTGCTGCTTCCTGATGGAAATGCTGTCTGCAATGCGTTGCTAAGGCGCTAAGCTGAAGCACTCCATTTTGTGCGCAGTGGTTAAGTTGTTTTCCCAACCGCATGTCAGCACTTCGTTGAGTTGGGCTGGTATGGCGACAAACTGAGCACGTATTCTCGTCGTTTGCTGAGAACTAAGCTGTAGGCTGCGAGCATCGTCTGCATCTAAGTTTGGTATTTCGGAATGGGCTTTAGCCTTTGCGCCGCGGGACCACCATATTCCCAATAGATCTACAGAGAGTTTGACGGAACATGGGTCAACGTGATCACCAAACAGCAACAGCGAGACCCAGAATGGCGCATAACTCTAATTACCTATCAACGGCGGCTCTTGCTGCGCTTCATATGCGGGAGAAGTAATACGTTATCCCCTTACGACATAAGAAGATACCCCCCTAGGCCTGCAGAGAGATGGCAAGAAAGGCTACTGCCGTGAATGGCCATTTAAAGTTAGCGGAGAGTGTAGTGCCTCTTGTTTAAGCCGTCATCCAGAGACGAAACTCCCAACTAAATTCTTGTGGAGCCTGTGCTTCCGGAGGCGTTGGTTACTTCAAAGACAAAAAGAGGCAAAACAACGACGCATATGTCAAACAAAGACAGTGCACACCTGCACCCCAACACCGCACTTTTCGTGCTCTCTGCGTGCTGTAAATTGGATGCGCACAACTGAATCCTGGAGGCCATGCCGCTGAATAATTTACATAGGAGTCAAGTGAAGGATATAATTGAGAAGCTGTGTACCAAGGAGCACGCTAAACAATGTGTGCTCAGTTGGTAGGGGACATGCCACACCATGACAAGGAAAATTTGCGCCCGGGAGATGAAGCTGTCTAACTAGTGGGCTAGCTAGCGCACACGTCATCACCCTAAGCTGTACAAAGGCCATTTGGCCTGCGATATGGTAGCAGCGGGACCGTGCGGTGTTCCAGCAAAAGATGTTGAGGGTGGTGGACTGTATGGTTGCTGTTCAGCTACTGCATATGGCTCAAGAAGGTGTGCTGCTGCTTCAAATAATCAAGTTTGAGCATCTCATCCGATTGCTGCTGTTGCTGCTGCAAATGAGCTTGCTGGAGGTGGAGCTCTTCTGGCAGTGGCAAGCGCTGCAGCTGCTCCTGCGGCAAAGTGGATCCATAGTCCCATGCCGGACGGGCGTGGACCTGCTGCTGCTCCATTAGGCGCTGCTGTTGCAGTGTTTGTTGCTGCTGCTGCTTCACAACATGTTGATACTGTGAAGAGTCCATCAGCAGGAATTCGTTTTGCTGGTGCTGTGGTATGCCTGGTGGGTGCTGATGTTGGGAAATGAGCTCGCTGGGGTGTACGAGTCGCAGCTTCTGGGGGGCGTTGCTGTGAAGGATACCGTGTGCTGCAGTTTGCTGTTGCTGCAACATCTGCTGCTGCTGCATCTGCCGCAGCAGCTGCTGATTATCCAGCAAGACCGACTCCAGGGTATCTGGGCTGTAGAAGGATGCCCCCGAGAGACCTCCGTCAGAGTTCCTGTTATGCTTCTGTAAGCTAACACTGTTGCAGGCATTGAGTGCTGTTGCTGTTCCTGCTGCTGTTGCAGGAGCAGTGTTCGAATCCTGGGCAGGGAAATAAGCAGCAGAGTGCTGTGGCAAGTACGATGCACTGAGGCCATCGACCCCCCCAGTTGGAAAGCACGCAAGCGACGCCCACTGCTGATGCTCATGCTCCTGTTGGTGCTGTGTATGCTGCTGTTGCTGCTTCTGCGGGTACAGGGAAGGCGGGAACGACGCAGGCACCATCAACATCTGCTGCGGCGCTTGTTGTTGCTGCAGTTGCTGCGAATAAGCAGATGGCAGAAATGAGGGGAAAATCTGTTGATGCTGCTGCTGTTTTTGCTGCTGCGGATACGCAGAGAGCGGGAAAGAAGGAGGCGCCAACGGTATTTGCTTCTGCTGTTGCTGTTCTAAAGTCTCTCCAGAGTAGGGCCAGAAAGAGGCTGCAGTTGTCTTTCGTGTGTAAGTCGGCTGGGCTGCACCCGAAGCTGCTGCTGCTTCGTGAAGAGGCATGGGGGCAAGCGAAAACGATGGCACCGAAAGGTGTTGGGGTGGTCCTTCTGAGGAGATTCTCATTTGCTGTTGCTGCTGCTGCCAAGCGGGCCTCACAAGGGCTGCTGCGGCAAGACTGTGGCGGCTGTAATTGCTGCTCATAGTGTCATGCTGTGGATAGTACAGCAGATTCAGTGTACTTTCATCCTCTGCCTCATCAGCCGCAGCAACAGAAAGAGCAGCAGCCGCAGCGCCGCTGCCGCTGACAGGGTTTTCTAGTTGCTGCGGCCAATTTCGAGATAACGACGTGACTGGAGAAGGCGTAGTCCACCCTGAAGGCTGTTGCTGCTCCTGCTGACGTTTCTGCCTTCTCTCCTGTTGCAGCTTTTCCTGTTGCTCCATCTGCTGTTGCACCTGCCGCTGCAGCTGTTGCCTCTCGGCTCGTTGTTGTTGCTGTTCCCATGCTGCAGCAGCCACCGCACCAACGGTCTGCCTCTCAGGCACTACACTGAGAGGCACTTCCTCGCGTACCCGGTGCAGCACAGCAGGCGCCGTGTTACTCTTAAGCAGATCCTTCAGGTTCTCGTTACAGTGCTGTTGTTGCTGCTGGGGAATGTCAGGAAGCTGCACGCTAGAGGTACCTCCCCTGAGAGAACGCGTGGCAAGCGGCAGCTGCTGCTCGACCTGACTGCGCATCCCCAAGCGTTGGATTGTGGCGGAAGCAGTAGAGTTAAGTCTGCCAATAGATGTTAGGCGCTCCCACGCCTCTTGCCTCTCTGCCTCCAGTTGCTGCTGCAGCATGGGGTCCGGCTTCTGTTGGAGGTGTTTGCCCCTTTGCTCTGCCGCGTAAGACGGGAGGGTCGTTAAGCTCTGAGACCGGGAAGGCATGCTATAAATTGTTTTTCGCTGCTGCTGCTGCTGCTCCTGCTGCTGCTCCCAAGGGCATTGTGGCGGCCTCTGCGGCAGCAGTGGCCGGAGCGAAGCACCCAAAGCGTGGGGCAGGCCTACTCGA